AGACGCTCAGTCGGATTCGGACGAGGAGTACCCACCATCGTGCCCCGTCCTCTCGGTCCCACTACCTGCGGTTGTGCCCTCCGAGCCCAAGTGGAGCAGCGACGACTTTGAGGACAGGAACTCGTACGAAGACATGGGCGCGAGCCCGTATCTTGACTCTCATCAGGTACGCGCTTCCCCTCAAACCTTGTTTATGAATTTGTCACTCATTTAACCCAACCTTGCTACAGTGGAGGGCGCTGCCCGGCCCCGCTATCGTCAACCCGCCGTCGCTCTGAAAATTGTTATCCCGTGCTCTATCTTAGTGATGCGACTATTTCTTCTACGTTGACTTGTCCCGCTAATTTTGTGCCGCTGCGGGCGCATTCCTGGAGCTGTTCTTGTGGTATACCCATCATGTTGTAGTCGTACTCCATTGTTTCCCGGGCGCTGAGTAGTTTCCTCTTCTTCTTCTTCGTGTTGGCAGCTTGAAACCTTCGGATTGGCTGATAGATCGCGAAACTCGATGATATGTTACAGTAGTGTTCGTTTTCTAGTCGACTACACATGTTCCGCAATGCGTGGCTGTACGTACGCTCCGGAAGCCGTGCGGCAGAGTATCAATAGAAAAAGTGTGCGGATGCAGCACCGGTTCGGACTCTTAATGCCCCATTGCTAGAACGACGAACGCTGATGTATGAGATTTCCCAATAACCCTGATGAACAGAAGGCTTATATCAGCGATAACTTACGGCCGGCCAGCAAGTAACTCTCGGGAACGCGTCATACAGTCGTCACAACGAGGCATCAAACGCAATCATGAGAAGCGTTCCAAGCAGGGAAAGCTTCCACGTCGTTATCGCTGTGGCCCAGATGCCCCGCACGAGGCATCCTCAGGGCGGTCGTAGTGAGGATACTCGGGCGGGACCGCACGGGCCCTGCTTCGTGTCGACCGCCCGCTGTACATGACGCGGTTGACGAGGCCGATCGGGACGTCATACATAAGCGGGATGGCGCCTGGCTGGGCGGCCGCGGCATACGGGCTGGGTGCACGGGGGTCGTCGCCAGGCTCGGGCAGGTGGGCCTTGGGATCTGTGGCGCGGCCGGGCGTGAGTTCTGGCACCTGCAGCCGCAGACCTAGACCCGGCACGGTCTGCGGCGGCGCAAGAGAACGCACCTGTTATCGTGCATATGTCGGCGAAACCGGGTGTGTCGGCAAACGCCAGCGCGAAGTAGGTGAAGTAGGTGAGAAGGACGAGGATGATCGAGTATGCGGGCAGCAGGAGGGTCCACTCCCTGTCCGCGCGGCGGCCGGCGTGTATTAGCGCAGCGTCGCGGCCCGTGGGCAGGAGAGAGGCAGCGCAGACTCACCGACTGGGGTACCAAGTGACACCGAGCCAGGAAATATAATCATCTGGCAGCAAAGCCCATAGCAAAAAGAAGCAGAAGAGGAGACAGGTGGAGGTCCATGCAACGAAGCCGTAGAACTCTGGGGCACGACTCCGGATTTCCGTCGGCAGTAGCGGAGGATAAGGAGCTAGGGGATTGACAGGGGAAGTCGGATTGGCCCCGTCCATGCTGCAGCGCAGTACGGCGGAAACGTCGCAGTCAGCCTACTGGACGTAGCCGCCCCTGGGAACTACGACAGACACAGGCGTGGACACCCTGTTCTACGCAATTGTGACGCACGCAGGCGCACAACAGTTTCTTATCCTAGGAAGGAAATCGGGGCCCAAAGTTCGGGTTGGAAAGGCAAATGAGGCGGCAAGGGGACTCGAGTAAAATGTGGACGCCTAACCGTGACAAACGGTGAGAATGGTCGTGTACCAGTATGGTATGGCCATACCTGGGTGTCAGGAATAAGCCGTAACCCACCGCGAAGCCCGCAAGGCGTAGGATGTATTATTTAAGACAGCACCGCCAGGTGCTCGCCAAGAGTTGATTGGTAGTCTCTGAAAACAAGAGACGCTTTCTGCTCGACAGAATCAAATCGGCTCACTGCACAGTCCTAGGGACTTCCTGGGTCACTAATTTCACCCATATTTCTACAGAATGCATATGCTTACGATGTCTGCATAGAGATCGGTGAGTAGTGTTGCGCATGCTCATGCTCGAGAACCATCCTTGACTGACCTGGAGCAAAAAGTGCAAAGCGCCAAGTATACTCCCGCCCGGCGCCACGACGGTGCCAGGCGCATCACTGCCACGTGGCGCGTTCGTTGTCAAGCACAAGTTGTTCGGCCTCGTCGCGCTCCCAATGGCACGCTCTACTTGATCCCTGTGATTCGACACGTTATTTTGACCACAATCTGAAGGCATGCTGCTCCATTCTCGCGGCCAAAGCCATGTAGAGATATTTGCATTTGCACACTTGTTATTGTACTCCCAAAGCTAACTTCGCAAAGCCTTCTACGGTATTAAATGTCATAAAATGCATCTCCGTGATTAAATCAATGCTGAGGTATAACGCTTATTATTGTTTGTGCCGACAATACTCTGGCGCCTGTAGAGCTCACAGCGTAGGCTCGACAGACAGCATAAATGCTGGTGCCCAACTTACAGCAAGTGCTGCGTCAATCAATTGAGTCAGCCGTGGCCTGCCGAAAAGGTTCGCTCATCCAGGGGGCTGTAGATGGCCTGAGACTCGGAAGCTGGCCTACTTGCCGATAATCAGTAATAATTGATGGAAGAATAGAATTGCGGTACTCCAAATCTCAAGCATCGAGTATTGAATATGAATGCGAAAGACGTCAGCAGTGAATCTCGTTGTTGCCCACGTCTCTGCATATTCACTGACGTAGTGGCAGGCAGAGCGCGAGACGGCGCTAAATTGTCCGCAAGCCAAAAGTAGAAGGTGTATTAGTTTGCGCAATTTAGGGAGCGCTGCCGGTTTCGGGCGTCCGGCAGCCTGCGACGGAGAACCTTGAACTCGGAGGTCTTAAAGAGCAATCATGGCTACTCTCCAGGCAAACAAAAAGATTCTAAGAAAGTCAGTATCTTCTGTCTTGCGCACACTGACTACATCCGAGATACAAAAGCAAAGTAAGTTAAGGGGGAAACGAGCGAAGGATCGATGACTCATGGCGTCCTAGCGGAGCAGGTGGTACGGAGACTTGTCGACGCTCCGTTCTTCCAGAGAAGCGTCAGCGTGAGCTGTTATCTGAGTATGCCCTCCGGCGAGCTCGATACCTCATCGCTCGTTACCGAAATCATCCGATCAGGTTCGTGGATTCTTGTATATGTCATTTCTGCAGCTGAAGCTTGAAGCTTGTTGCATTGCGTAACAAGGCAAAACGCTGTTCGTGCCCAAGATAGACAAGTCCGTCGAAGGAAGAATGGACTTCCTGAGAGTTTATGGAGAGGCCGACCTTGCCTCTTTTCCTGCCGGGCTATGGGGTATCAGGGAGCCGGACTATATCTGGCAGGGATCGCAGAGACAAAGTGGTTAGTCTTGTGTCTACACGTAATTCGGAATTTGAATTACGCTACAACTACATCAGCTTTAGATACTTCTCTTCAAGGCCTTGACTTGGTCTTGCTACCCGGTATGTTCACAAAAGGGGACAGTGTTGCTCAGTGGCTTACCTACGCCCTCGCAGCCGTCGCGTTTGATCACTCGCTCTCGCGGCTAGGACATGGAAAGGGCTATTACGACCGTTTTATTACTAGGTACGTGGCTGCGCACGAAGGCAAGCGGCCTTTACTCGGTACGTATAGGTATATGGTGTCCATCAAGAAGGGCCGCGGAAGCTGACATCATGAATGCAAATACAGTAGGACTCGCCCTGCGCGAGCAAATCCTAGACGTAGGGAAAATCCCGATGGGCGAGTACGACTGGAAGGTCGACGCTATCGTGAGCCCAGACGGCATATTCGGCGCCACAGGCGAGCCGTCCCACGTGTCTACGCTGGGAAACCTCCCTGGCCACACAGTTCCATGATGCCTTCTCTCTACGCTCCGCATGTATTAGTTCCCAATCGGAGGTCGGAACAGAGCACAGCACCATACCATCTCGTACGCTTCCTCGCGATGCGGTGGTTGATTCGGTTCATACGGACATGTTGGTGACGATATCAGGCGGACCACACTGCCGTAAAGATTTCTGTTCCCAGCCGGTCCATGATAGATTTAACTCCGTGAAACGCACCCTGCCGTGCGACTGCGAGGCACAATCATGATCCTGTATGATCTTCCTGGGGGAAGGTACGTATGGGCTGTGAATGTTAGAAAACTCGGTCTCAGTAAACCAATGACGGGCAGTTGAGCTATCTGACGTACACGGTTGCGGCATCATTATGGCCCTAGCGCCAGTGTCGAAGGTTGCGGGAGAACCGTCGACGTTTAGCAGCTTGGTCGAGAGCTGAGTTGTGACAACTACCTACCGAGAAGCCTCTGATCAGCTTCTGTACCCTCAATTCAACGGCACAAAAGATTTTACTCACGGAAAGCCCCATGGATGCACATGCGTGTGCAAGCGTCTCTCTTGTACGTTCTAGGAGGGCGGAGCGAGCCGAGTAGAGTATCCCAGAGGTAGATTGAAATGGCAGCCAGAATGAGTTCAGTACCAACAGCCCTATCTGACCGGAGATGTAAGAATTCGATTAAAGAATATGATAGTGATGACTACCCTCGGATGCTCGTCGAGATACCATGGGAGTTTGTGAAGGAAAACCATCAGATCTGGAAGCGTATGCAGCGTCATGAACAGAATCATATCCGAGTACTGCCGAGGAGAAGAGGGAGCGGGGGCGCTATGTAGCCAAATATCATTTTCTGCAATTCAAAGAAATAGCCCGGAGGATTGCACCTGCTCGCTAAGGTATCTGCTAGCTGGCTTGCTGTCATCATATTCTGCATATCTGGACGATAAGAAGAAAAGCGCCAAAGGTCAGATGCGTGGCTCGATGCAATCTCAAAGTACTCACCCACAAACAAAACATTTTGATTATTTTTGGCAAATGCCTGGACCATGCCGAGAGCCAAACTTTCCTTGCATGTCCCAGGCGGGCCTGACAATTCAAGGACAAATCCACGTTTGAGCCCACCATCGAGAAGTATATCTACTGGAGAGAATCCGCTGTGATATCTTATAGCATTTTGCTGAGCCATAACCGCGGCAGATTGGGTCAGCAAAGGCATCTTGTTTTGCGTCTGAGTGGCCGAAAACACTGCTTGGGATGCATGTATCGGGAGACGGGCATCTGATGCGTATTTAGCTACTGTTTTTTTGAATCTATATTTTGAATTTTACCTGCAACTATTCGCTCGGGAGTAGAAGACGTTATATCTCTTACTGTCTCGTATCCAGCCTTGGTAAGGGCTGACAGCGTTGCGGGGGGCAATGCAAGAGTATGTAATGGTCTGTGTGCCATTTTCTGCAATTGATTTGCAGCAAGAAGATGCTGGTGGTATGGAGCGGCCCCTTAGGCAGAAATATGCGAGTGGTAGAGGTCAACATCACGGCGCGCGCCTGATGCGCTGGGACGCGTAAGCGCGCAAACGCCCTTTGTGGCGTCAAGCGTCTGCTTTCCAGTTGACCGCCTCTATGACCTTCAGCTGCTGTCTCGCCCAAGAGTCTCCGACGGAAATGGCTGCTCCCTCATGTCTGCGCATTTCCACAGGAAAAAAAATCCAGTGAACCGTAGCAACAGGGTAACTGAACTCGACGATGGTCCCACAGTTAGTTCCTACTAGCTTCTCGGAACGAACGGAGCTTTTTTCTCACGGGCTAAGCTTAGCTTGACGGCGTTGCTAGCTGCCGCTCGCTTGACACAGTACATTACTAGCAGCTCTGGGAGGACGAAACATGGGAAGGGTTTACTGGAAGAGCAGAAAGCAAGTCAGGGCTCGCTTTCAGCTCCTCGGGCCCCGGGCCTGACGAATTTATGTTCAATAGTACCATTGCTGGATCTTTACACATCTCGAAGGAGCTCAGCGCGAGGCCTTTGAAAAGGCGAAAGAGAGAACAAGTAACACTGATCCTATCCCAGGGGGCATGCCCCGCAGACCGCTCAGAAGAAGTTCACGGAAATCTGGCGAATTTCATGCAGACAAAGTAGCATAAATCGTTCAGATCATTGTGCAAAGCCGTAGGCATGTCGATCGATAATCCTAGAGCTATTCATATGCCTCTGACAATTCCTTCATAACAGATCTTCGGTCGGGAGGTTCGAGCATGTATGTCTCACTGTCTGCGCGTTTTATCTGCTATGGTTAGGTTCGTAGATCAGCTGTCGCACCAGTCTGTTGAAAAAATTCTCCGTGCATGGACGACGTGGTCACAGTCGATATTGGGCCGCGAGTATCTGTTCGATTCGCTGAATTAGGAAACCCCGTTGACAAGGAACGAGCTAGCAGAGTCGTTCGGTTCGGCATGTTGTCACCGGCTGGTTCGACTCATGAAGATCAAACAAAGTTGAACCAGACCTAAACCTAGAGCTGACCTTGTTTTTCGTGGCACTGGATCACGAGCTCGTCGACACCGCCGTGCGGCGTCGTCTGCACCAATACCTCTCTTTCTCTTTCACCACCACCGTCGCCGAAGTCTCCACTTCAGGCGAAGGTTCACTAGGTACGCTCTACACTTGGAAACGTTCTAAATAGCTTCAGACGAATAATGTCAGAGAACAGGCGTCCGAACTTTAGACACAGTGTGCTGTTGCCGCGCTCTGCTATCCCCTGATAGACACACTCCGCCGGAGTGGCATCATGACGCGTAGCAAGGTTCAGTCTCGCAGAGGCAAGCAACAAAAAGGGGCCGTCGTGATTTCGCTTTTTGAAGATGTTCCTCGTACCTCGAGTTCCTGGCCGGCCGAGATACCGGCCTCTATGACCCATGTCTATCGAGTCAACGCCCTCAACACTGATATCGACGGTGTCAGCCCATTCGCGTCTACCGGTCCTCTGGAAATGTTCGAGCACATGTTTCAACTGGAGGGCACTCGTGGCCGCAACATGACGAAGTCAGCTGACGACGACGGTTCAGAGCTCCTGCCATCCCATGGTGACACCCAAACTTCCCTGAACATGCCCTACGACCCGCAAGATCGCGTTGGTCTGCATGATGCATTGTTGGCTGTATACACCCAGGCCAGTCGCTCGATACACTGCGAAGCTGACAATACTCAGCATCAACAGACTCGGCCGACCCCTCTCACGGATGGCCTAGCTAGTGCTCGCACCAGCTCTGGCGGACATCACCTTCGTTGGCATCATCAGTTTTCTGTGGCAGCTCCAGGTTGTGCACCTTCTCGGTCTCTATCGCCGGACCATACAGGTTCATCCGCATCTATCAGCATGTCTCGCAGGTCTAGCCTTGCTACGGTGGAACTAGAAAGCTCTCGAGGTCCTTCTCCGGTTTCTCAAGGCAGCTCCATGTCCTCAATCGATGCGCCAGATCCCACATATCGTCCTGTTTCTCTTGGGTGCACACCTTCGCTCGACGACGCATATATGTACTCAAGCGCCAATGCATTGCCTTTCGCGCATCCTCTATTACCTCAACAGCCGTATCATCGACCTCCGAGCTTGTATGTCCATCAACCTACTTTGTATCGGCGTCCGGCACACCTCAGCTACCAAGACTGCGGTACCATGCAGCGCCCTATGCAACTCGGTTCGCAGCACTTGGACTACCCTCCGGATATTCGTGCACAGTCTCCCACGGAAGTGGCTCACGAAGCGGCAGTACACCATGTCGTTAACGCTCCAGCGAGTATCTCCTGCCAAGAGCAAGCCGGTTCGAGTCCCAGGCATGCTCCTCTCGTCCAACAAGACATACAACGTACGAATCAGCCTGCCGTAATTCCTGTGTTATACCCTCTGCATTCCGGCTCTTGGTATACTTCGGACGGGTTTCTCTCTCGCGATCAGCGTACTGGCACCCTTGATAGCTGGAGACCTCACTCTGTGGCCAGCAACTGTCATCAACTTCCCGTGTTAACCCCTTCTCAGGCTTTCAAAGACTTCATGGCAGATCTCGGCCGTCCAGCCCAGCACTCCACATCCTCGCAGCCTCTTCTTCCTCCTGTTCATGCGCCGCCGCTTCACTCCGTTCGGCCCCATGGTTTCAGCTTTTCTGTACCTTTACGACCTTCCGCTGGATATCAAAACGTGCCCAAAGAACGAGACTGGACTGCCCACTTCGAAGCCCTTGGACGGAAAGGTAGGAAGAAGAGGAGCTCGAGGAAGCAAAATGGCCAGAACGAAGAGTCCGAAGCCGGGCAAGTTGAGACGTATCAATGCCCGATGTGCGACCGCAATTTCGGGCGCCGTAATGGTTTGGCCATTCACATGAAGTGGCACTATAAGGAAAGAGATGGTCAGTAAACTCGCGTCTGTTGCTTGTTGGCTGACCTTATCGTCTCCTAGAGGATTCATACTTCAGGGGGCTTGGAATAGCTATCCCGCCTCTGAACATCCCACGTCGGATTCATGGTCTCTCAAGTGCGGCTATTGCACAGCCGCCCCACGTCTCCCAAATGGCTGCTGCTTCCGAAATCGCACCCAGCGGTTCGACATCCAGCAATCACACATCCCCGCCGATGGGCAGTTTGCTTTATCCCGAGACAGACGCTCAACCGACGAGACCGTTGTCGGCCAGTACAACGTTGCTCTCCATCAGCACGATGGACTCTCTGCCTGGACCGATAACGCCTCTCGCGACGCCGCCGCCTAGTCCCGGAGGCTCTCGCGTGTCGTCGCTCGTGCGTCTCAGCGTGGCGGACATCCTGAGTGCCCGTGGCGGTCGCTTGAGGTCGGAAAGCACCCGCTCAATGTGGGACTTGTTCGGCTCCGACGACCAGGAATCTCGGTGACCACTCACAGCTTATTCGTCTGCCTGTCAGCAAACGATTCATATACCCCGCATACACGAATCATACAGCTCGCAACGCACTTCAATACACGACCGCATTCACGTTCAAGTTCGATTAGGCGTAAAAAGACTCAACGCTTGTTACACGTCGCTCATTTTTCTTAGGATTAAAGGCAAGAAGCAAGATGTAGCATATACACCTGGGTAATCTCTCTGTAGTATCGTACTTGTATACCATGTGGTCGACCGTACGCCAGAATGAATCTCGTTGTGTCGCTGATAGTTCTCGGAGTGCAAACCTCCCCATGTCCGTAACGGTCTTACTCTGGCGAACTTATAAGCCTTCGCACCCATCACACATACTCGTCCAACCAAAAGACCTTGAGCTATCATTTATGTACTACAATCTGAGAGAGTCCGTTCGAGCTGCACCGTAGCCAATTCATAAAGGGGAGAGGATGCACGACCTCAATTACGAAGGTACCAACGTCAGAGAGAACGACGACCGGCAGCTGGAGGCTTCTAGTCCACCAGTTAGATGCTCAAAGAGTCCATGTGCCATACGTCCAGCATTTGTTACAACGTTCCCACTGCTGGGTGCCCGTGAGTTTCTGTTCAGCTTGCGTGCAAACCGCTTATTCGGTCGTGACCGACTTCGCACTGGGGGGGGGGGGGGGGGGGGGGGGGGGGGG